TTAATAACAAGGGAAGGGACGAGTTACTCCCACGTCTTATGGTGAGCGATTCGCCTACCCATAATAGTTGCATTACCAGTCAGAGCTTAAAATAGCTAAAATCTGAGGTGCACTGTCTGTGCGCCCATCAACCTGAGACATAACTTGACTAGTCTCATGTACCTGCAATTTCACCAGCAGTCTTCCTACCTGATTGGTGTCAATAGGTGAGATGGCGGAGGAGGTGGTACTTCCCTGGACGAACTCTTTCACAAGGAGCTATTCTACAACTGTAAAGTTCAACTTAAAAATAATAATTTATAATATTCGCCCCGATCCAAATCAGTTTTAAACGGCAAACGGTCCCAAACTGCTCGTCTGTACGGTTCAAAATAGAGACATCACCGATCTCCGCTTAGGTGTGACATGTCACTTTTACTATTATGTCACAAGCTATCAATAGCCGACGCTACAAACAAACCGTACAGGCTAAACGTTTGTATGGACCAGTTAGCGAAGTGACCGAGAAACCTAGATGGCAAGTGTTAGGCTCAATATGACTGTGCTTTAGTTTCGGATGCCGTTGAAAGTGTTGAAATTTAGTTTTATTGTTTTTCTTTTTGAACAAAAGACGTAATGTACGTCAATGTAATGAACAACTTCGATGGCCCGGCGGTTAGCACTATGACCTCTACATGAGGAGATTCCGGGAAACGGACTGTTCTAAATTGGTTTTGATCTGGGTGCCAAGGGTAGTGTCCCGAACTCATTTTCGATACTTTGGTTCTTTTATGTGAGTATTCTTATTATATTTTTAGATAGTTATGTCACGAATATAAACTCGAACATGAATATATTTTTAAGTAGGTAAATTAACATACTATTACAGAATTATGATTAATAATACGTTCAGCCTGTAATTTGCCAGCGTCCTCATTAATAAATCGCGTGACATTTTTCCCAATAATATTGAGTGATATTCATAAATGAGTCATTTAAAATCAAAATGCAAATTCTTACGATCAATAAATGTATACTTAGATCACGTAAATGTCACGGAAGGCGCATCTGAATTATTCATTTATTGCATCTCTATGTAAATAAGTCAAATGTATTTTATTGAAAAAGTTTATTTTGGCTTGTAGAGCGTGAAATTACGTAATTAATTAATTTTAATTTGGTTCATGTTATTAAATCAATATTCTAGAATGTATCCTTCGTAACGTAATGGAAATGTAAATCATAATGTTAATAGCATGGTATATATAAAGCAAATGCATCCTATCAAGGACCACAATATTATCAACCTGTTATTCATCCCACTGCCGAGCACAGACGCTGTCCCAATGCTGGTTGAGAACTTCACACGTTTTTCAAGGACTGTAAACCTTATTCTATATGCAGGTTTCATCATGGTGTTTCGCTTCGCCGTTAGCGACGGGCATCGCTGCTAAATGTTCACAATAAATGTACGTAACTTGGAAATTGAAGTCAAAAGTACACGCCCCACACGGATTCGAACCGTCAACCTCACAATTGAGAAACAATCGTTCTTCCACTGCACTACCACCGCTTCCGAATGATCTACAGCTCCGGCGCCTATAATTTTTCTGGTGGTGTGTTTTTGACTATACTTACTTAACTACCAACTTTTCTACCGCACAACATCGTCAGTGCATTTCGGATGAAAAGGTAAATATTAAGGAAAGGACAATCACAGGTACAGGTAGACTCAATATGTAATTTCCCATGGCCGGCAACACATTTGAAATATGAAGGATACCGCTAAAGGATATTGCTAAAGATAGCATCGCAAGTATAAATAGCGGTTACCGTGTTCGGTCCGCCTGTTTGAAAATTATAACAAAAGTTTGCCGAATTTCGCCATGTGCGCCCGAACAACGAGCTCTTCCGAGTTGCTGAGTCGAGAGAAGTCTTAAAATTAAAGTCGAAATCCTCTTTTGTCATTGGATCAAAGAGTGACAAAGTGAGCTTCTTAAATCAATATTTAGGCAACGAAATTACAGTGACTTTTTTTATTAAATTGTTAAGATAAAGTATCTTACTCGAGGAAATTGTTCAATTCCCATTTAAAACAGACGAAAGTAGTTATATTATTTGATTCGTATCAAACGCACCGCACCGTAGCGTTACCATAAAAACTAACCATATCCATTTAATAACTGGAGCCGTTGAAGTCCAGTTTTTTGCCCCAGTTAGTGAACTGGCCCAGTGACTGGCACGGCTCAAGACTGGTCTGTTACACTTATGTTACGTGCAAACCGGAATTTGGATTGAAGATGCGTTAAAAGTACGATACGCACGCGTTCATGATCTAGGTAGGTAAGGTTTGGTCTTGATTTCAAATTCAATCTTTCGATGTAATTAGCACAATTGCAGATAGTGGAATACGTTAGTGACATCACCGTTCGCGAATATACTCGTGAAGTATATAGATGAGAGATATATTAAATGCCAATTCACGATAAACACTACAGATTTATCGAATTCATTTCAAATATGGTCAAAAATATGTCGCCTGATGACAAACATAGCTTCAAACTTTCATATTTATTATAATGACATTTTATAATAGTGTATCAAATACATAGGCGGTTTTGTTGCAGAGGTCCCGAGAGGTTCGATTCCCGGGCCGGGAGAAATATTTGTATGGCCTACATTTATTTCTCTCTCGAGTTTGGGTGTAATTTGTAGATATCTATGTGTATGTCCATGGTACCCGCGATACAGGGTTTCTCTAGTGCGAGGCTATAAAAAAAATCTTTTTAAATTTACACCGATTTAACAAGCTTTGAAATTAATATTGCGCGGCCTAAGTAAAACGAGATCTGGTTTAATACACGAATAAATTCACAAATAACAATTAGATTTGCACCCAATAACAGGTAATATATAAAAAATACGGCTAATAATAAAGTTTAATATAATTTTATCAACACGCATAAATTTTTTTGTACGCGGTCGTCGCTTAAGAACACTTTTGACATGTCCTTTCTTTATTTAGGTCATCGTTATAATCATATAATTACGGTTTTATAATTTTGTATAAATACAGTTGAAATCATTTTCATTTCATAACTTCATACAAGTTACTTTAGATTAAATTAATGTTGCAAATGAAAATATTTTTACGCAAAATATGAGCTAAGCGATCCACTTTTAGATTTTAGTGAATTTATACTTGAGATGAAACTGGTTTCGGAATTTTGATAACATCTCTCATCGATTGCGAATATTTCATTTGATTTTGTAATATGTTGCCTAAATTATTTTATGTGGGAGTACGTAAACATGAGTTTAGTTGTTGAAAGTATATTTAAACATTAAATACAACTTGTAAAGAATAAATGATGATCAAATTGGTATTTATTTATGAAATGACAATGTAAACAGAACTTAAAAGGGTTTGTAAAACATCTCGATTAAAAATTATAATTGACCAGAACATCTAAGCGTAAACGGACTCAAATCCAATTCGTTTCCCACGGAATTGCAAGAACCAAATCCTATCCTAAGGACGAGACACGAAAACACAACATCAATGCTGTTATTGAAACAAAAATTGAACCTTACAGTACTGGCCGTAAAGAATATAGAGATGGAATGGATTAAAATAACTACAACAATAAAACAAAAGCCGTTAAATAAACTTAATGTACACTCTATGCTAAAGTAAATAAGGTAGATTTAGATTGTAACGTAAATAATGTTCAAAAGAATATAGACTCAAATGTAGGGCGATATGTTGAAATGGTCATTGTGAGTAGTGACATAGACACATGGGGTCCAGATTTGTGATTCTCATTGTTAGCCAATGTGATGTTAAGTCCTACCACACGATGGTAAAGATTAATTTTAAAGACACTCGTTTCATTTTAGAAGGTTATTGGCTATTGGGTTTAGTGGATTATTGTGAGATGGAGTTCGTGGTCAAGCAGCTATTCAGGGTCTAGATTAATCTTAAATATAACTTACATTCGATTTTAAAGATTCGCATTTAAAGGAATTAACATTCTAACGTAGCAGTACGTTTATAAAAAGAAAAGTATGTTTTTTTAATGAAAAGTAAATGATAAAGATCACGTTAATAGAAGGAAAAAACAGAACTGGCAGTTCGTGACAATGACTTTCACAAAATCTCAAATTAATTTAAGAGGCAAAATATAATATGCTCATAATAAAAACCCGGTTGATATTCAAAATTTGTCATTTACGACGTTTGTACAAAACGTTAAATGCTGTGTACAAAGAGCAAAGTTTACAGTTTCTTACTCATTTTTCTCAAGAGAATATGAGTATTAGAGTTAAAACAACGTGACGATTTCAAGAGTAATTTGTTTATGAAATTAAGATATATTTGAGTTTGTCTAAAAACTATAGTTTAGTTTTGTAATTTTTAGCAAAAGCCATGAGCGAGGAAATGTTCTATTGCATATTTTACTAAAACATTGGTTTCATTATTTTATTTGTCAATATATATAATACATTGTTAATGTAAGAGAAATTGTCCATACCAGTAAAATAATTACGCTTAATGTTTTAACAAAATATTACTTTCCAATAGAAAGATTCCTCGCGGATTTTTATACTAAAAATTACAAAATAAAATTTGGCTTTATAGTCAAACTCAAATACATCTTTATTTCATGGGATTACGAATGTGTATATTGAATTGATCGAATATTTGGTTGCTCGTCCTCGTGTGCTAGTTGAAAGTAGAAATCTGTACGCTAAGATTTATTAACTGTAATACCTGGATGTAATGTTCACGGTTGCGAAATTTCCCACGCGGCTTTTGAAATCGGTAATTAAATGTCGCCCTTCAAGTTTAATGTCTAAACATATAACTGATTATAAAAATATATAAGACATATAAATACATATAAAAAAGTGTACCATTATGACTAAAACATAAGGGACAATTTTAAATATTTCTTCTGCCTTTTTGTCGTTGTGGTGTTCAGCTGTTGGATTGTAGGAGAGGGATAAAAATTACTAACCGTGGATGTACTTCTACTCTGAGTACTTCATGTCCAATTTTCAGGTCTTCAGGTATTCTCACGAACTTAAGATATTCTCCCACCGGATAGAAATTGCAACCTGCAACAAAGAAAATGGGTTTTTAAACCGACCACAGAAATTTTAAACTTCATCTTATGGAAAACCATTGCATGATACTATATTTATACCAACCCTATTTCTCTTCCCTTTGCATGAAATGGATTGCTAATGTAAGAGTATTCAGCACAGTCAAAGCCCACCACACTGGCCCAATTATGATTAGACATCTCACATATGTACAAAAATATTTTCTGACATAATTTTTTCTTCATGTTTTTGTTACTAACGCATAAAATATATTTATTGTAGAAGCAACAAAACAATATTACGAAAAAAATTAATTTGTACCACGATCAAAATTTTCTCTACGACCATGTTGACAATTCTAATTGCCTTAGATGCAATTACTACCATCAACAATGCTCGATTCTTCAACAATAACTTTATAAAGAAGTGCATTAATGTAATTTTAATAACAAGCCTCTTTTACGTAACATTTTCCACAGTATTGTCTCACTCTACAATCAATAGACTACGTTAAAATTAACCAATTAACTTCATAAAATGATATAACAATGAAGAAAATGGGATTATGGAATAAGTAAAAACACACAGTTGAACGCAATTTGCGTGTTCGACAATGACGTGAAAAGTTGGTATCAATAATCTTGTCGAGAATATAGTGACATTGAAAATATTTTACATAATTATAATGATCTTGGAGATTAGACTTAATATTTTAATTTTTAGACTTAATACGTTGCGAATGCTATAAATAATATGTGTTAAAAACAACAAAGATATACTAATCGGGAGTTGATACTTCCTGAAACATTGTCATATCACTCTGTACTGTATCAACCCATATACTTCCCATTGATTGACATGTAACATCTACACACTTAATTCCTAAACGCTCATATTACAGTCCTTGTTTGCCTTGGATTTTCAAAAATAAACCACACATCTACGAATAAATAAACTTCTATAATATATAATCACAAAAACAAAAAAGTAAATATGGAAACGATTAAACCAAAGAATAGTTCACAAATTGTCATTGCATCACTCAACGTAACAGTGCCTTTAACTTGCGAAATAAGTTCTCATGTAGCGATCGTTCAATTGCCATTCTGTTGTCAGATTATTAAGGGAAAATATATCAGCTAATCCCATTCATACGCATGAGTTACATGAGAGGTTTACGAGACGTTTAATGGATGACACTCGTGCTTTAGCGTTATAAGTTCATACATTGGGATACATTTGATCACTTAATCGAAGTTTAGGTTTTTGTTAAAGTTAAGGATTTGGATAACGTTTCCTAAAATATACACAAATACGTAAGACACAAGTATTTTGAACTTACTCAATATTACCACTTTGATTTTATTTATACGGTTTTTATAGCGTTTATGTTGTATATTTGTATGATCATTTACATTGATAATGAGTAGATCAGCCAACGACTTAATTGTTAACCAAGCGCTAGACGTTAAGGAAAAAGCGACCACAATTGGACTCGTCAATGGCAAGAAACGCAAAAACTATTCTATCAATCATTTCTTAATACTGATCACACCAATTTTATTCTTTTTCACTAGTTAAGACTGTTTAAAATGACAAGCATGAGTACACATTCATAAAAGAACCAATAATGTACTATAATTCGCAAAACGAATCGCTTCGGCCTTTAAATTCAAATTAGTGACACTGGTTTTTTATTAGCTACGAAATAAGAGAAAAGAGAAAAGGCTCAATTTGTAGTGGAAACAAAAAGATACGCTTCTATGAGCAAATCTACTAGTGGCTTTGTAAAAATCAACACCGCATTTCTGTTAGACGAAGTTATTGACTGGGATTTGAAGCGTAAATTTTTAATTCACTGCCTTTGTGTGTAGGTTTCAAATAATATGAAGAAAGCAATGAATAATATGTAAACTCGCTTTCGTTTTGTTTAGAGTAGTAACACTATCGCTCAATCGGAGTCCGATACAATTTCACTTTCGATCTCTCTTGATAGATTCTCTTATATACAAAACGAGCAGAATGATAGACATTGTACATTTCACCTGTAACGTATCAGAGAAATGGAATTGGACTAAGTTGTACATTGTACTCTATGTCAATCAACGCCTGTTGAATTTCGTGGATCTTCAATTATTTGCCAAATGCAATGTCTGGTTTTTTTTAGCAACGCTTAAAAAACCGTTCAGAGTCCCATTTCCCTACAACTTGGCAGCATGCATAGCTGAGCTGCACAATCCCAACATGACGTCTCGTAATTGATTTCATGCGATGCGGTAAAATAGTTTTACTGTTACGCTTAATCATCTCCATCATCATATTGATTAAATACATACTACTACGTAATCATAAGGCAAATAAGAAGAATGAGTAAGATACTCTTGGAGTAGCTTTTTGTAAATAACAGTTTGTTCACATTCCTCATTCTCAACTTTTTATTTACAAAAAAAGTTGAGAATGAGAGATCAAAGGTTTCACGAGTATTCATTTATTCAGGATGACAAAGGGAATCTTTTAGTTTCAGATGAGATTTTGGTATGGTTGTCCGAAACATTGATTTCCATAAAGACACTTGTAGACACCGTTAGTTAATTGCCCGAACAACATACGAAAAACAAAGATTTTATTAATGTCGGCATTACCGAAAGCAAATTGCTGCATGCCATCAAAAACCAATATAGACATCTCTATATCTGAAAGTTGATGAATTTTTTATTTGTCCTTTTTATAAGAAGATTGTGCAACGAAATTGAACTTCCTCATTGATTCTGATCGCCATCTGACCGCCTAATATTAAGGTCGAAGTACCGAGACCGATTGTCTCTTGCGAACCTCGGTTATGGCAAATTTTCCCATCAACAGCTATTTGGAGATTTCTTAACTCTGAACCAACGACAAATAATGACGCGATTTAGCCGTGAAATTTACATCACTGAGCCATATGAAACTCGCAAAGATGTAAATAAAGGTGTTTACTCAACAATTTAGATATATTAATATTTCATAATACATATTGAATGGACAATACAAATTGTCATTTTGTTCGCTTTTATAAAGATAATAAATATTCTTGGAATCTTATTCGAGTTGAAGAAAAAACTTCTCACGAATTTTTAACGTTATGTCATGTGATAATGCATAGAGATACGATTTGAGTGACAGTTTAATGAAAGTAAATGTAACAAATTAAAAAAAGTGAGCTCTCTAACGATCTATTACATAATAGATGGAAAAATAATGGCACTAAAAGTACGAGCAAGGTTATTATAGGAAAAAAACGTCAATACTGAGAACAAAGCGTTAAGACTTTTGATAATAGTATTATAACATAGATAACAGTAATCCGTGGTAATGAAATTAGAACAAAAGGTGCCGTGAATGAAGAGAAGACAATGACAGCAATCTGTCCATTACGAGAGAAAGATAGCGTGAGATGACAAAAAAGGTTCCCGTAACTGACATGTACATACTTAAACACAGTGTGCAGTTTATTAGTAGCAGATAACCATTAATACTTATTTTATTATTAAAACAGTTTTTCGGATCTTGTTATTGACATAAAAGTAAGTACAAAAAGTTAAAGAATATATAAAGAATCAATTAAAGTCACTCAATTTAGCAAATGAAACTAGCAATTCAAGAATACTTTTAACGCACCACTTATTTGTACTAGTGGAAATACCAGCTCAGCGTAGTTAGTAAAACAATGTGAAAGATATTTTTTACAAACTTTGTTTGAACTGGTACTCGCGCTGAACAGTTTAACTGTTATTAATGTTGTGGCAATTCTGTTGTATTGTGCATGAAAAAGCTACTAACCCCTAAATTAAAAACTTCAACGACATCAAAAGGCTAGTAGCTACTTCCGTCATGAAATAAGTTTAGCAACAAAGGAAAAATGTTACCAGTCGTCTGGATACGATCCACTCGGGCGCGAAGAAGGGATTTTGATAAAAAAAAAGGGAGACATTTTCATCTATGTTAAGTATTTCTAGATGACAACCAGTAAATAAAAGCTTACTGTTAAACAGGCAGAATCATGAATAATTGAAGTCCCGAAAGCATCTACTCTGACAGTTAAAATAGATAACCTTAAAAGGTCCTAATAAGCTAAAACAAGTTACTTCTCTACTCTGTATAATTATGTTTACTTTAGAAAAACACGTTCTCTCTCTCACGCTCACATCTCTATGATCATATTAGTTTAAGGTCTTATTGTCTCATTTGTGTCAATTTAACTCCATACACTGCATCTACATACGCACATACGCCATCACATCACACTAGTAAGTGCTTGGGGCGTGATGTCGGATTAAATACCGTAAGAGATGCGGGATCCGACTTTTGCGATCGCCTTCTGGCCTGCAACATTTATTTATTTAAAGAGCGCTAAATTTTTTTATTGTATTTACCTGAAAAGGTAAGGCAATAGTGTAAAATTGTCCTTGCTTTCTCTACAAGATTTATAAAATGGAGATTTATTTGAATTTCGTCCATTATAAAGTAATCCAACATTTGGTTTCTTGTATAACACAAATTTGGCCTTAATTTCAAGCTTCAATAGCAAATTGATGACCTCAAATCTATTTCAATGTAATCTTTAATCTCGTTACAAGTTCTCGCTTCCTCAACTATTGTTCAGCTTTATCAGTTAAAATAAACAGTTCTTTGCCATCAGCAGCACTAACCGCAATTACTAGGTTACGAAGTATCAAGTTTGGTGTTAAAACTAGCACTTTACCGTCAAATGCTTCTGTAAAACCATTTAGATTGCGAAAGCCTATTGATTTTCGTGAGGACAGGTACTGGTTTTATAGATAATGATTCTTTGCACAATTTTGTTTAATTTGTACTTCTTATATAGTTACCATATTGTCGTAATTCATTGCACTTGTTACTGAGCCATTATTGCGATTTGAAGGCGTAAAAATTTTTATTAGAATAAATATTCCTTTCATAAGAGCTTTGAACCAACTAAAATTAATTTTTAGTCTACATTATTTTTCGATTGC